GGGGGGGGAGGGAAAGGAAAATAAGGAAAACGAAAGCGGGAACTTGTAGAGAACCCTGGAGCTGTCACACCTTTTGTAAACGTGGAGAAAAACCGCGATGGTCTCTGTGGCTTTAGTTTTATTTTTGTAAAAAAACAAAAGAAAAAAAAGGATAACAATAAAAAAAAAAAAAGAAAAAAAGAATGATCCCAGGCCACTCCTCGAGATTTGCCAAATGCTAACGGGAAGCTGAATTTCTGTTCCTTTCGGACCTCTCCTTCTGCCTCCAAATCGTTCAGGCTCCTGATCCTGTCGCGACTCAAACTTCATCGACCGCGGCTTTTCATTTCAGCAGACCTCGGTACCGATTTGCCTCTTTGCTTTCCCATGTTTTGTACCTTTCGGTTTCTGTCATGGGACCTTATAACGAGCAAGAAATACAGCCTCAACGTGAACGGTTAAGCACAGCCGCCCGCTTTGAGTGCCCCTTATTTATTATCGTTGACTTAGATATTTTTAATTCTTGTTTATAATTCTTGTTTCCCTAGTTGTTGGGTTGGGTTTGTTTTGGTTTTTTGGGTTTTTTTTTCCTTGTAAAGTTATTTCGGTATTTTTGGGGAAAAAAAAATCTGTACCCTTTTGTTTTCATTTGTAATACTTATTATTTGTATTAATTATTATATTATTATTATTATTGTACTTTTGAACTGTGCAATATTGTACGACGATTCTTAAAGCACTGCTTTTATTTGAATGGTGAGGAAAGGGTTTTTAGCATTGTATAATTGCGTTCGTTCATGTTGTAAAAAATAAAATAAAAGAAAGGAATTAAAAGCGAAGGAAAGTGAGGAGAGAGGAGCAGGGCATGGGAATGAGCATCAGCCCGGCTTATGCGAATAAATAAGGGAGATACGGCGAGCTGGGCGCTTTAAGTGAAGGACAATCAACTTTAGGGTAATTTTAATTTATTTGATATGATGTACAGTTTTCTTCTAAAGTCCATCGAGTACGTGGATTTTAATAGGCAGAAATCAAGTGAGGAGTGGACACCTCTAGTCTCTCTCTGTCTTAGTGTCTGCTCACCTGTTGTCTGACAATTGTTTGCTGTCTTCCCAAGGGTTTGGGTTGGTTTCTTGATTTTATTTTACATTTTTTTTCCCCCTTTCGGTTGTACTCTCTGCCTTCTCGCTTTCTGTTAGGGATCGGTCCTATTTTTAAAACAGCCTATATTGTTATAAACTTAATGTTGTGGTGGAAAAAAAAATCAATAAAACCCGTTCCTTATCATTTTTTAAAGTGTGGCTTCGGAGAGAAAAAATAAAAAAGAAGAATAAAAGAAGGGGGGCCTGGAGCGGAGCCGCCCTGCTCGGAGGGGGCTGCTGGCGGGCGGGGGGGGGCCCCGCCCGGGGTCCCCGGGGGGGGGGGGCCCCGCGCCATGTGGCTCTTTTTTTTTTTTCCCCCTCTTATTGGATAAGAGCATCTCGAGGTTTTCTGTGCAGGGAGGGTTTGGTTTGTGGTTACTTTGATCTCCCTCCCCATGTTGTGCTATTAAAAAAATAAATAATGCATGGCGGAGTTGTTCACCCCATCAGGATGTCGGGCCGAGCCAGACCAGGAGTGCAGCAGGATCTGCAGGAATTCATTAATGGCCCATTCTGTATTTCCTTTTCTCTTTAAAAACCCAGTGGAGTTACCTTGGTAATAATAAAGTGCACGATTCCAGGAGGGAGGGAACAGATTCTTATTTTGATTAAACGGATTTCTCCTCCTCCCCTCCTTGCCCCTTTTATTCTTGCCAATTTAAAATTTTTGTTTAGGAAAAAAAAAATTATAAGCAAATGCTAATGATGGAAAAAAGCACATTTTTTCAAGGGAGGGGAGAAAATGCCATTGGAAGTCTTCTATGCGAAGAGATGCCGGGGGGCACAATATATCAAAGAAAATATAATACACCCAGGTTAAAACTAATGATTGCCATATAATTAGATGTGAACCATTGTGCTATAAATGTGTATTCTTCAGCGTGCTGTGATTTTACTGTAAAAGAGAGAGAGAGAGTGAGCGCGAGAGAGAGCGCACAAGAGAAAGAAAGACAGAAAAACACAGAACCCAGCAACATACTATAAAAAGCACTCTGTTGACTTTTCTGCTGTTTAGTATTCCTTGCCCGTACTCCCCCGGGAGTATGTAATTAGTGCTTTATGAAGAGTGCATTTAAAGCAGTTTAATATTCACCTCATTCAGTCTGAAACAATGTGATCACTGCTTAGACAAATCACTGCTCCTTACTGACATCCTCTGTCAGTACATTACCTCTGAAAAGACCTTTCAAGAGGCTTGGATGTTAATTAGTTGTCTATCATGTATAAACAGAGCAGTGAGCAGAAGGGCTGCACCAGGCCAAAGACACAGAGGGAAATACTGGAAATACTTTTTTCTTTTTTTTTATTCCCTCCCCCTTTAATGAAAATTCCTGGCTTTCTCGTCCCCCGCTCCCCAGTTTGCTGGCACTTCGCAGAGTTTTGCTTGGCCTGGAGTGGATCCTGTTTTTCCCTGCCGCTGGGTGCCCTCCCAGGGATGCTGAGCCAGCCTGGCCCCGCGGCTCTCTGCCGCCCCAGCTCTGCAGGCCACGTGGGGCCG